CCACCCCGCTCCACCACTGCTCTCCCCCCACCCACATCCAGCCCCGGGCTAATGGGGTCACGGAATGTGTCTGCACTCCGCCGTGATTTATTACTGACTGTGCGAGTGCACATAGGTGCACGCGTACACGGAGCGCCGTGTGCTCGCGTGTGTTGTGCGTACGCGCGCGCGCGTAGGGCTATACAAAGACGCTCGGTGTAGGCTACACGGGGCTGCCGGGGCAAGTGCTGTGAGAGAGCACCACCTCTGAAGCCCTGGACCGGCGCACGAGGAGCGAATGGTGTGGTCGACGCCACGCCCTGACCGCCTTTGTCTCTCCAGTGTGGATGTTTCATATACGCCAGGCAGGGGTAATTGTCCAGGGGCAGCATCGGTTCAGATATTCGTCACCGATGTTGGCCGTGAGCGTGGATCGAACTCGGATACGCCGGGCTTCGGAGCGCAGTGTGCCAACCACCGCGCCACCGTTCCCCACAAAATAGGGCTATGCACACGCGTATATTTAATACAGATAACATTACACTCATAGTTATGAAATCATACACAATCGAATAACATAAATTAGGAATACAGATTTAATGATGTTATTCGAATTCCGTTTTACAATCTGTTACTAGCACCCCCATCGAAGGTGGGAAACCCCTATAGAAGCGACACCCAACGTGACGTTCGCGGTGACGTCACGACGTTCGCGGTGACGTCACAACCCCACCCCCCCCCACCTGCACATCTCACGGCACACGTGGGAATGAAAGGTGAAATTGTTTCCACCCAAGAATGAGTCGATGAAATCGAACGAAAAATCTGGAGAGTAATCGATTAGTTTTAGTGGTGGGATATCCCAGCGACCACTGGTTGTATAAGTATTATTGAATAGTGGCCACGTGGTCTGCAGTTACATGATGGTTACTTGTTTCCGTAAACTTCACTCATTTATTCCCCCATTGGCGTTGAGGACTAACAGACACCGTGTGGTCTCATCCACCACCACCACCACCACTGTGTTCAACCACCACCACCATCACACTGCAGGTCCACAACCACACTCATACACTCATTCGCCCATTCACCGACCCAAACAGACTCAAAGACACAAATCCCCTGTGTGGCCTTAATAGACGTTTGGGGAAAGTGCTGTTAGCGAGCGCCTATGAAGGCCGGTACGGCACACGAGGTGGGTGGCCAGCGCCACACCCGGCCGCCTTTGTCTCGCCAGTGTCTACACGTCGCACCATTTCCTCATTTGAGACCGAGTCGACCTAGGGGAGGCCCAGGGCTAGTTCAAATAATCGTCACTGTTGGTGGACGTGAGCGGGAATTGAACTCGGCTCGCCGTGTTTGTAACGCAGCGCGCGAACCACGATACCCCCGCTCCCCTATCACTCGCCCACTCGCTCTACTCACCCTCTCGCTCTCACCACACTGCAACTCACAACAATTTTATTTCTGCTTCTTTATTCCCTGCGCCGCTCTGCGATTTCTTGCCATCGTCTATTTTGTCCGTCCCCCCCCCCCCCCCAAGTTCTAAAAATAACCTTTGCTCAATTCAAGAAAACGCGTGGACTCTTATCGACACTGTTACAACTTCCATAGCGCGGTTTGTCGCTGGTCGCTAGACGCGGCGAGCCTGTGCCTCAGTCAGAATCTGTTCGAATGAAACTCACACGCGCGGGCACAGTTGTGGCACTGCCGAGCTGCGTGGCCGCGTGCACGTGGTGGGAGCGGTGGCGCAGTGGTTAGCACACCCCACTACGAACCCGCCCCCCCCCCCCCCCCCGGCGAGTTCGATTCCCGCTCACGGTCAACGTCGGTGACTAATAGGCTACGCGTCTCGTAGTAGCCAGGGCAATAGCGAGAGGTACAATACTGGACGTGTTGTGCCGGGTACGGAAATATTTCACGCGTCGCGGACCCCGACCGAGCTGGCTGAAATGAAGAAGCCCCTGGGTGCGAGAGACTGGAGACAGTGAGACACGTTAATTTATTCATAACGGATGGAAGAAATAAACGCGGGGTTGTGTGTACGTGCGTGTGTACGTGCGTGTGTCTGTTTATTTGTTTATTGATTTGCCCTGTAGTAATGAACGATCGCTCAGCAATGCAATCTGCGTTCTCTGGGAGCCAGACAGTGGTGGCTCCTGGCTACATTAATTTTGGCCACGGCTGGTGGACCGAGTCTGGGCAGTGGCTTCGTGGCCCGCCGAATCCCATCCACCGGCTCCACCATGGCCCATATGTCAACCATCATACTCTTTCTGGCCCCAAAAAGTCCATGTAAAAAGTTCCCTCTTGACAACACAAGTACATCGCTGGCCTGACCTTACCTAGAATCCACCATTGTTTCTCCTGATCTTAGAAGCATCACTGCCCAAACCCCCTCCATCCCAATAATCTACCAGAGCCTCGCATGGTCTCGTGAGTGAACCACCAACCTCTCCTGATCCTATGAGTCCCATCACTGATCTACCCTGATTCTATGCAGTCCACGACCACCCTCTCTTCCTCTCACGAGTCCACCACGAGTCATCTCCTGGTCCCAGCAGTCCACCACAAGGGTGGAGGTGAACCCCGACTCCCTCCGCCCAACGGTGGATGGTGGAGGGGCCCCACATGGGTGAGGAGGAAACGAGTCAGATCGTGACAAATCAGACCGCGCTACTCGCTCAGTGGGGAATTTTTTTGAGCCGTTAGATTTCGCGAGAAACCGCAGTGGAGATTTCGGAGCGCGCTTCTTACGGGAAAACGTGCGCGATCAACGATTAATCCCCCGAGTCTCGGGGACCACAGCACTGTACCATAATCTTCCGTCTTTCTGTCGTACGACTGATGTGGATGCAGAGCAGCAACTACAGTTTCACATGCAGGTGGTCAAGCCCAGACAACCGCGTCAGGAGCAACGGAGTGTGTCGGCGTGACGTCTCCATCGTATTTGTGGATCGGGCATTGCGTCGTTATATGGAGTACTGTTCGTTCACGCCAATTGCTGGCGCTAGGGCCTCCACTAGGGGGGGGGGGTTCTAGAGACCCCCTCTACGTGGTGTTTGGCCTGCTCTTCCACGCTGGCCAGACGTTTTGAAAGAGGTGAAAGTACCCACACTCTGCATCACCACACTCGACACCTACCGATCATGATGGACTGCCCGTGTCGAACCCCATTCACACCGCTGCTGGGTGGGCAGAGGGCAGAAAGTACCCCCATTGTTTAAGCCAAATCGTTGAGCTATCATTTGTGTTAGCCAGGTCGTTTCTGAAAAAGAGCGACATAGTTCAGTGAAATAAAAAAAATACTTTTAGAGTAACTACTGCGCCAGTAGATGGCATCGAACCGGCGACCTCTGGATTGCAAGTCCCAGTGGCGCTGCTGCTGCTGCTGGCCAGCTGCTTTGGTTTCTCCGTTTAAAAACAGCTAAAGAATCCGTGTCCGTTGCTGTAGAGATTTCTAGTTGTGCGTCAAACAAGGTAACCGGTTTTGACGGGGTTTTCTTGCCGTACGGTTACCGGCAATGCAAAACCCGAGATGTGAACAACCATTGGCGATGTAGCAAGATCGCGAGAGATGGCGACAACGTGGAGAGGTCTTCATCTAGAAGCGGCTGATGATGATCATGATGATCATGGAAGCTCTTTGGCAATCCACTGCTGGATGAGGGGGAGGGGAGGAGCGGCTCGACGCGCAATGCGAGTTGTGGTGGGGTTGTTAGACTATACTTCACCACGCTGGGCAGTGGGGGTTTGGCGAAACAGGGGAGCTTTGACGTGACAGCAGAGAAGTGCGGTACAATGAAGGATGTTTCTTGACTGCCATATGCCGCTCAATGCCAATAAATAGTACTGGATCGGTGATGAGATACGTCTCTTTGCCAATCCACTGCTGGGTGAAGGCCTCGCCGCTTGCCGCTCATAATCGATTTTTTTTTGGGGTAGATCTCGTAAATATCAATGTGTCGTTAAACCCGCCACCACCCGACACAGCCAATTAGTAAGATTTGTCGCGTAAACAAAACGTGCCAATTCATTACGAGCACTTTATACAAGCACACCAGTGTGTTGGAGAGTAAACCCAAAACATTTACAATTCGAGTACGACGTTTCGCCAGTAATTGCAACTATAGCATTGTCAGAGTTGTGGAGACTTCCCCCTGTTTCGGTCTTAAATTGCCGTCTATAATGGGAGTTGTTTGACATGTTACCGGGCAACTGTGAAAAAGAGCTTTACAGCTCATCGGATTCCTCCAGGATGAATACATTTATGATTCTGATATGCCTACCATCCATAATTCGCCATCATCCACCACCACCACCGTCGTCGTCTTGTCGGCTTACCGCGCTGCCTCCAGCACAAGAAGCAGGCCACTTACTCAGCAGGGACGCAATTAGAGCGAAGAAAGGACGGCTCGATCGTTATGAATGCGCTTGAGTTTCACTTCATTAGCTTCCAGCGTAAACACTGCATTCTCACTCCCGATTATACTTACGTAGGCATTTTATGTACCGCCAGTGTTGTTTGTATTAGGCTAAGGAGCGCTTCTCACGCCGCAGCATCGCGAGAGGCGGCGGTTGATCGACGGAGATGCTTTCATCCAGCAGTGGATTGACAGTGGGGGGGGGGGGTGGTGACGAGCGGACCGTGATCGCTGTTCTTGAAGCCGCCGCAACGTGTGACGTTCACGCGACTGGCACAACGAGCAATTGACCAATTAACTAATTAACAACAACAACACGCTGCGTGGATGGGCTCGCCACCACTCATTAAACCGGAGTGTCCAGGTGTGGCCACGCCTCCCAGCCTGATCGGGAGGCGGGGAGGCTGGGGCGAGTGGGTGGGGAGCTGTGCGTGCAGTTTGGTCTGTGGTGGGGGTGCGTGCGAGAGCGAGTCGGGGGGTAGGGGGGAGGAGTAGAGGAGAGCGGAAGGGAGGAGGTAGGAGGGGGTAGAGGAGGAGGAGGGAGGAGGGGAACCAGCGAGTGAATCATCGCGGCGCACTGTGAGAGGGGAGGGGAGGGAGGACGAGAGGAGGAGACGGGGGCGAGGCGAGCGTGTTGCGAGGGGGAGAGAGAGCGCGAGGGGGAGACGCGGGGCTCTTCGCTGTGCCCGGCGCGGTGGTGAGAGCGCGCGCACGTGTCCCGCTGAACGCGCCGCGGGGACTCGAGACGTCTGGGGCAAGAGTGGGGGTGTCGTCCCCCCCCACCTCCTCGGACCCCCTCGCCATAACCCCCTCCCTCCTCCAGACAACACCACGCTGTCTGGAATGTAGGAGCTGCCGACACGAACGCGGCGCACGGAATCTCTCTCCACTCGCTCGCTCGCTCGCTCCTCGCCGCCGCCGCGACCGGCGCCTGGCGAGTCCCGGACGCGTCCCACCGAGGAATGTAGCGGGCGAAGCGCAGGGACGCGTTTCGCCGGGGCTTTCTCCCCCCCCCCACCACCACCCTTACTGCCTCCATCCATCCACGTCCAACAACGTCGTCGTCGCCCTCCTGCCGCCGTTACTACTCACGCGTTGTCTTCCCAACTCTTTAATGAAAGCACGGGAGAGCGGCGCGGGAGTGATTCTCCTGCCCTGTGTCTCCACGTAACCGCGTCGGGAAACGCAGCAACAACAACAGCAACAACAGCAACAACAACAACATCAGCAGCAGCAGCCAGCGACCGAACTTGTCCGTCTGCCACCGTCATCGACAACAAAGTTTGGGGTTCGCGTCCCCTTGCACGGGGCTGTCAGGGTGACCCCGTGGCGTCGCCGCCTGTAGCCCTGCACGACCACCTTCAACCACCACCACCACAACATCAACAACCTCGAACCAGCAACCGGCCCTCGTCTCGTTCCTCCACACGAACTCCGGCGCGTTTGTTGTTGTTGGGGGGGGGGGGTGCAGCAGCCATGGGGGACTGCGGGGAGCCGTGGCCCCCGCTCCCCAGCCACCAGCAGCAGCCGCTGAGCCAGCCGCTGAGCCACCGGCGAGCCGCGGTGGTGGAGAGGCTCCGGCAGCGGATCGAGCAGTGCCGTCAGCACCACCTGAGCTGTGAGAGCCGCTACGAGCTGAGCTGGGCGCGACAGCGAGAGCGCGAGCGGCGTCACAGCGACGCGCTGCACGCGAGGGCCCGCAGGGGTTCGGTGCCCCAAACCAGGGCACCACCCCTAGGAGGCCCCGCCGGTGCCGGCGTCGGGACCCCGCTGCAAGGAGGAGCGGGGGCAGGGGGCCCCGGGTCGGGCACGGAGTGGAGCGGCGGTTCGGGACCAGCGGGGTCCCCCGCGTCGCTGAGCAGGAATCAACGAGCGCTAGCGCTCATCGCGGTGAGTGCGTCTCGCGAGGTCGTCAAGTTCCGGGCGGGTTTGCGTGCGGCTCGAGGTGGCTTCCCACATCGGCCAGCCGCGGTCTTCTTGGTGTTTGTGCATTTGGGGGTGCTGTTGCGCTGTGGTGGATTGTCCGACGTTTCGCGCCACAACCGTTGGGAACTCGACGCGAACTGTTCGTCTTGTGGCTTGAGCGCAAGGGTTGAATTGCGCGACAACTTAGGCGGTTTCAGCCGTCTCCTCCACTCGCAGCGCCGCACGTGAGAGGCAAAGGGTTGGTGGGTCACGCAGAGATTCGTGACGCTGCTGGCTCGCGAACTTTGTCGGGAACATGACCAGTAGAGCAAGCGGGTTTGTGAACTCGTTGTCGGTGTTGTTTATACCCTCGGATGCGTCACGCGTGGTGGGTTTTCTCCAGGCTTCTCTGGATGCCTCTCGTTCAAAGCAAAACAAAACTACTTTTTTTCTTCAAACGAATGTTCCAAATGTCCCTAGGTGGCAGGACCCTCCTCTCTAGAAGTGAGCCCATGAGACTCGGCGAGCCGATCTTGCTGAATAAACACCGTGACACTTCGAGAATCATCATCATTATATGCTGCTATTGCAAGAGGAATGATTTAATTGGCCATGGCTGTGAGTCGCACGCGATGCGGGCGGGGGGGGGGGGCGAGGTGGGGGCAGGGATGGGGGGGGGCGGTGGGGGAGACGTTTGCTTCGCGGGGGGTCTGGAGGAGTCTACTGCTGGTGCACTACGCAAGCTGCCCTTTCCTTTCTCCCCCTCCCCACTCCACGTGTTTGCGAAAGCACGTTCGGCGCTCAGCGTGGCATTTAAAGTGAAGGGGGTGCGTGGGATGAAGGGTCGCGCGTGTGTTGGCGGTGGCGCGGATGGGGCTTGGGGAGGGGGTGGAGGAGGGTTGAGCTGAACCCGGGTCTCAGGTGAGGTCACGGCAGACGGCGGCAGGGGGGGGGCGGTGATCGTCACGCGCGAGTGGCGGGTCACGGAGCACGAGGGGAGCGCGGACACGATGATGATTGTGAATGTGATGGCGCCGGAGGGGGTGGGGGTGTTTTTACGAGAGGTGTGTTCGTGTACATCGACACAAGTGATGTTAGCGAGCACCGATGGAGGCCGGCAAGGCACACGAGGGGGTTGGTGGCCAGCACCACGCCCGGCCGCCTTTGTCTCGACTAGCGCGACGGGCTAACCGTTTCGCTACCGCTCCCCACACCAACACGCACCAATATACTGTACACACATGCACTTGTAACACACACACACTCCATAACAAAGACAAAGCCATAGTCCCCCCCCCCCCCCCGTGTTACCTTCAACGGTAACAAGTGCTGTTAGCGAACACCTATTAAGGCCGGAGGGTGTTGTGGGTGCTTCAAAACCACGCCTGCTCGCCTTTGTCTCGCCGGCGCTGATGTTTACACACCGCTCCAATTTTTTTATTAAACTATAGGGGGGGGGGCAGGTCTTTCCGGTTGATATATTTATGCCACTGATGTTGGCTGTGAGCGGGAATTGATTTGTTACTCGGGTCGCCGGGTTCGGAGCGCAATTGGGCCAACCACTGCGCCACCGCTCCCACAAAGATCCCCCCGGATAGTAAGGGCAAGTACTGTTAGCGAGCACCTATAAAGTCCGGTGACGTCACTACGGCACGGCACACGAGGGGGTGGGTGGCCAACACCACACCCGGCCGCCTTCGTCTCCCTAGTGGCGATGTTTACACACCGCACCAGGTACAGCATTTGAGGCTGAGTCGACCTAGAGGAGGCCCAGGACCGGTTCAAATAATCGTCACCGGTGTTGACCGTGAGCAGGGATCGAACCCGGGTCGCCAGGTTCGTATTGCAGCGCGCTAACCGCTACACCACCGCTCCCCACTCGATAACAGACACAGTTAAATAGACGCGTAATCTAACACGCACACACATTTACAACCAGACCGGGGATTACACACCTCCCGTCTTGTAAAACAAGCGTACTGTGCTGTCTGTGCAACGCGTGCGTGTGTGTGACGCGCGTGTGTAATGTGTGTGTGTGTAACGTGTGTGTGTGTGACGCGCGTGTGTAATGTGTGTGTAACGTGATTGTAACGTGTGTGTGAAACTTGAGTGGATTGTTTGTAATGTGGGTAGCGGTAGTGTAGCGGTTTGCGCGCTGCGCTACAAAACCAGCCACCCGAGTTCGATTCCCGTTCACGGCCACCAACACCAAGTGACGAATATCTAAACCGGTTCTGCGCCTCCCCTAGGTGCCCTCGGCCTCAAATGAGTACAGTACTTGGGAAGACAAAGGCGGTCGGGCGTGGTGTTGGCCACCCCCACGCCCTACGTGTGCCGTGTCGTCCTTCATAGGTGTGTTGCTCGTTAACACCATTTGTCCAAAATACTGTGAAAGCTTTACCTTTTGTCTTTTGTAAGTCGTGTGTGTTGTGCAAGTCGTGTGTGTGTGTTTCTATGAGCCATACTGTTACGTACACGTGCATGACTACATACTCACGACCGTGTCATTATCAACACGGGGGGGTTGACTTAGCCCTGCTGGGGTGGGGGGGGGGATGCGAACCTAAGGCCCCGAGCTCAGCGGGCAGGAGTTGCCTCCCCTCCCCCTGCTCCCTTTGTGAGCCCTCGCCACAGGAGGGAGAGGGGGGGGGGGGCGTTAACTCGACTCGCTCTCCCCCACACCCAGCTCGCCAGAGACGGGGGCTGAACCACGCACATTCACCAAACCAACTCGCACTGACCAGCGTGGTGAAGTATGGTCAACCTCCCCCCCAACCTCCTCCCAGTGACAGATGGACCTAACCACTGACACCCCCCCCACCCCCAAGTAATCAGCAGCTCTAGAGCTGCTGATTATTGGAGCAGTGCGTGTGAGATGATGGGCCACTTAATTGTAAGATGGTTAGTCACTTTTGTGAAGTGGTGGGTCATTTCAACATGAGATGGGTCAGTCTATAGTTTATGGACTAGTGTAGTGCCATTGACTTGATATTTTGGTGGTAAAAAATGTGACTTTTTTGTGATGTGAGATGATGGGGCATTAAGATTATTGGGCTGCTGAGAGATGATTGGCCACTGAGGTTAGGGGCCATTTAGATGACATCGTGAGAATATGGGCACTGTGCGATGATGGGCCACTGAGATGATTGTCTATCTGTTGTGAGCTTAGAGGCCACTAATGGGAGGCTGTTAGACCGTGTAAGATGATGTGATCATTTTTTTATCTTTTCGAGGTGAGACTATGGGCCACTGCGTGAGAACGGTGGCTGCAGCATGGCCACAGTGAGCCCACACACATGGAGAGGTCACTTTGATATGTTGTAAATATTCCCCTCGCTCACCTTCAGTGCGGCAACATTTACATATGGAGACAATTCCTGCCGACTGAAGCAGAAAACACGATGTGATTGGAAAAAAAAAATCCCATTAGCTCCACGGTGTGGAGGGGATATGTGTGCTGGCTCGGGATGTGCTGAGAGGTCATTTATAAGCCAAGGTTTGTCATGTCTAGAGAGGACACGAGACGGTCATCATAATTTTAGACCAGACGTCTCTCTCTCTCTATCTTCCCAGGGAGACCTTAAGCATGCAGAAGCTTGTGTGTCGTGACGTAGCTGTAAGGTGTCCAGGCGGTTTGACTGCACCAAGGCTTGTAGGCCGAAAGGAGCCCAGGCTCCGGGCTATGAAGATAGCCATGGGCAGAATTTGACAGGGAAATGGGCCCCATTTTAATTGTTTACACCGGGTACCCATGCCAACCGCACCACGGCACTGGGCGCAGGGGTTGGAGTTCAAGTGCAGCGAGAGTCATCGTGCGACTGCCTGTGAGCCACCGCGTGACACCACCAGTGACCTCCTCCTCCTACCCCCGCCCGCCTGCCTCCCCATCGCCTCCCACCCCGCTCCCCTCGTGTCGCCTGCATCCTGTGGCGGTTGCCCCGTGGTGCGGTGGAGCGAGTGCCGACTTCCTGGCCGGGCCGAGCGGTGTCCAGTTGTCGAGCGCCGCGCTCTGCAGACGGGCGCCGCCGGCCTCTAGCGCCGGGGACGTTGAGCCGCCTCCGCCCCCGTGTCGCCCCGTCCGCGCGCACCGAGGCCTGCGCTTCTCCACCGCCCAATTTGTCGCAAGGAAAGTGCGCCGCGGGCGTCGTGTCGCCGGCGTCAACTGCTGCGCCCCCGACGTCTCCCACGGGAGCCGGGGTCGGTGAGCCCCCCACCCCCCTCTCTCTCTCTCTCCCCTGCCTACCCGAGCGGTCCCCAACAAGACTTCCAAGACGCCCGTGGACGGGCCAACAACTTTTTTTTTATGGACGCCGCACGAGCGCCACGCAACAGTGACGCGAACGTCGACCGAGCGGCGACCGAGCGGCGACCGAGCGGCGACCGAGCGGCGACGGGGGCAGGGAGCGGCTGAGCGCAGCACGAGCATTGGAAACGTGCTGAGATGGTTGCCCGGTGGATATCGGGCCCCCCCCCCCTCTGGCTTAGCCAATCGGTGCGACTGCGATACTCAGAGTCCACGGATCCACGTCGCTTGCGAGGCTGTTTTGATAGCGGTCGGTCTCGTGGCCACGGGCCCGTGCATGAGATGAAGTCCACGGGCCACGTGGATTAAAGTTGGGCCACGTTTCCTGGCCCTCGAGACGTAGCTTCTCCAAAGCCGCTCGAGAGGGGAGGGTTGGCTGGCCTGGCTGGCAGTTCTGGGGCGATGGAGCGTCATTGCAAATGAGTTGTATTGCAGTGCGGTGGAGTTACTCTGTGTTGGAGGCTTTAATGAGTGTGCAAACAGAGGATGTGTGTGTGTGAGAGAGCGTCCGGTACAGGTGAAAAAATAAACACGATGCCCAGGCTCGGAGCAATTACCACAAGCAAAGCGAGCGGTGGCGGCGATGCTGTGCGTGCTTGCTGTGCGTGTGTGCGTGCTGTGTGTGTGCTTGCTGTGTGTGTGTGCGCGTGCTGTGTGTGTGTGCTTGCTGTGGTAGCGTAGC